TTGTTGCTGATTATAGTAAGCAACTCAACCGAGATAGATTAGCATAGCAAATGGCACAAGAATCTAGAGTAGAAAGGGCTATAAAATCGGGGGATAGTGAGGAAATAGCCGAAGGTAGGATCAGTGGCGTAGCTAGAGTAAACGTCACCCGGGGCGGTCCGCTCAAATGTCACCCCAATGACCCCGATTCACCCTATGCTAAATGGTTAGCTGTAGCTAAATTTTCATACATGCTCTACCTCTACTTTACTCTACTGACCGGTACGTTACTGTTTACATGTATGATCCAAGACAAAATCCAATACCACAAAAATCAGTTCAAATCAAAAGATTTTTAAAATACAACTGTTCACTTTCAGAACAACTAAATACAAAACACGGCAATACACAAAAGAATGACATTCGATACTATGGTCTTAGAATGAATGTTTTCTTGTTTTCATTGTGGCAAACTGGTCAATGACATCATCAAAATCTGTTTGTCTTGTAAGCTCGTTTTCAATGGACAGCACAGCCAGATCCGACAGTCTCGACTGGCTTATGGTTGACGTAATTTTCTGTTGCTAATTTTCCGGTGTCCAATTTTCCGTTGCATCATTTTCTGGGTACTATTTAATTATCAATGATGTTTGAAAATATTTTTCTTGACAAAAATGTTCTATTTAATTTTTAAGCATTTTTCGGAACATTATAAATCAACTGCATTTTTTAAATGTTACCTAGAGAATTTATGCAAAGTTTATTTTTTTGTTTTTCTTTATACAAGTAAAATAAATTTACATTTTGATGTTATTATGATTTTGATGTTATTATGATTTTAGTTTTAGTGATAATTTAAAAAACAAAAATATTTATCATTAGTACCAATGGAAAATTAAGTTAAAAATTTAAAAGAATCGTTTTTGGAATCGGAAAATAGGCACAATTTTTTCCGATTCCGATACCGTTTCCGATACACCAAAAAGTTCCGATTTTTCCAATTCTCGAATTCGATTCCGATTAATCGTCCCAACACTAGTAGATATATTCAAAAGTATATCGCTCACTCAATGGAAAATTGTATCTCAGTTAATTGATACACAGGCAAGACTGAAATTGTTGCACTTTTGGCTTCGTATTTCGCTTTGTTGTTATTAATGATGTAGAGTTAAAACACCATATCATCCGATAAAATGTTACAACAATGTCTCTTGTTAGTAAACAAGATTGTAGCAACTGAGACACATGAAAGCTGAAAACATTGCTATTTTTCCTACTCACAAATTTCCAGACAATTTATTAGAAAATTTCTGACGGGGGACAAAACTGGGGGTCATAAATTATTTTGGGGGTCATATGCCCGCCTGCGAAACCCTGTGTCTCCACCACTGTTTTCAGACTATTTTTGGCACCTTAGCCTAGTTGAAAAATTTTGTTGGGGGTGACATTGTGTCACCCCTCCTGTGCTGGCACCCGGGCGATCCGCCCCCCGTTAGCTACGCCACTGGGTAGGACAGAGTTAGCCTCCTTGCTTATCAAGAAAAATCAAGGTCTGGTAGTTAGGGCTAAATTAAATAGGATGTCTTGCGAGGCAACAGATATGGTCGTTGAATTGAGAGCTGAATTGCCAGATGGGCGTATCATGACTATAAATGATGGCATATGTGAAGCTTTCCGATCTTACTTTCAGGATCTTTTTAGTAGGGAGCCCGGTCCGAGCCCGGTCTAAGCCCGGTGTAAGTCCGGTCTAAGCCCGACTCGGTTCGACACCTATTTAGCTGACTTTTCTCGCCTCAAAGCGACTGAAGCGGCTGGGTGCGAGGGTCCGATAACAGAGGAGGAAATCTGGAACAAGACTCTGGGTATCGATGGTCTAATAGGTGTACTTGAGACAGTCGCACATATTTGTCCCTCGCTGGGGAGTGCTAGTGTGAGTGAATGCAGAACAGGTGCATGGAAAGCATTTTATTAATCCCGCAGTATTTTTTCGCCCAGTTTACTGTTATCTCTGCCATGAATAGATTATGGGGGTGTCTGTTACTAACACTAATTTTGTTTAGTTGTGTAGATAGTTTTTTCATCATGAACATTGGGGTTATATATTTTTAGATTTTTATCAAGCCAGCCCTCCACAAAATCTGTATATATGGGATTAGGTAAAAATTCTTAGAGTAAATGTAGTATTATGGGGTCTGTGTATGGCAGTGTGGTATGGATGAGAGGTCTTTGGTAAAAGGGAAAATGTACGGACGATTGGGTCAGTAAGTGAGGCTAGCTAAGTTGACGATAAGACAAGTGAAGACCAGCCACCCCCATCCCAATTATGCCCATGTGGTTTATTTGTACATTTGTACAATAAATATCAAGGAGTTAACGATTAACTGTTCATTACATTTGCCGCCCTTAAGTTCTTCCCGGTTGTCCAGAGGTCCGATACCCACGGCTGATCGATAAGGTGGTCACTTCGATCCAAGCCATGCCTTATCCCACGTTGTGATTGGTTTTGATCATAAGGTCGGCCAGGATCAAATCGTCGTCAGGTATCTTCCTATTGGGCTTGTCCAAGTGGAATGAAGACGCACGAAAAGGAAATAATTTGAATTAAAAAAAAAATTATATACGTTTCTTAGTACAATAATTGGTTAGTTCATTGTCAAAAGCTAGCAATTCACATGCGGATGTTTATCGACCCAACCCGCTTCTTAAGTTGGACGTGACAGTTTTCTGGCTTGATGAAGATTGGAACAAGGCTGATATCGGAGGTTCCTTTCAGACAGGCAGTAACGTGTGTTGTTTCTCGTCCGGTGCCTGGAACAATTCTCTGTTTGCCGCTTCGACTCCTTCGTATATATTGATATTCATCCAACCGTCACGGGTGTCAGGATTCTGAAAATTACTTACTTCCCAATTTGGGAGATCCTCTTTTCTGTGGGTGGCGTTCGTAGGTATTGATCTGCCCCATACTTCTTCCGTCTCTTATTAGCATCTTCCATTAACGCTCCTCAATGGGCGTAGGTAGCCCCTCCACCTTCCTCAGTGCCTCATCTTCGCCTGCCACGTCGGTCACTCTTCGACCAATGGTTCTCGACTGCCTGACGTGGCTTAATCCCCAGATCGTTAATCAAAAGTAGTCTTGTAAATGATGTACTTCAGTTTACTGATTCTACAAGCAACAAAGAGCGGAGTACACTTGAAAGACACTTCTGGGGGTTTTAAACGACAAACTTCTGTAGGCTCATTCTACAAGCAACAAAGAGCGGGGTACATTCAGTGACATTTCTAACGTGCAGCAGTTGTCTTTTGTGCAAGAAATAACGTGTAGACTTGAAAGACGCTTATGGCTTGTAGACGATGTACTACATATGACTGATAGCAAAAGGAATAAATAGCTGATTAAACTTGGAGGCATCATTAAGACTCGTAATCAGACGCAATAAAAGTACATTGCAGACACAATAAAAAGCTGACTAGTCATGAAATATTCCCCAAAAGATTGGAAATAACGTATTACAGTAAAGAGGATTTAATAAAGCTTTTATGGTCCAGAATGTTGGCGATATTTCATCATTCTAAAATAACCTTGTCATCAGTGATGATAGAAAAGAAGGATAAAAATCTTAACCCTTAACGTATAAAACATCCTTTCAAACTGACAGAAACACACAAAACTCAACTTTTTCGCCACTAAACAAAAATAAAAGACCTTTAATTTTCAGAACCGAAATTAATTTAAAATAAAAGATCAACAAACACCAAACACACTTTTGACTGAAAATACAAATACTTTAAACGGTTATTGTTTCCTGAAATTAATTATATTCATTTACTTGTTTAGCGTCACCGTTTCAAATGAATCTTGTAAATGAACAGGCAGCGGTGTTTAGCCGGCAATCAGTAAAGGGGCTTTAGTGGACTTGTTGCGACCATGGCAAACACCACTCCCACATTTTCTTGTTTGGACCATATAGGACCTGCTAAGACAAGCTAAGACTAACTTAGACCAGAACCCTTGTGTGCTAAAAATAGCACCAGACATCCTTTCAAACGACCACACAAAACGCTCAATTTTCGCCACTAAACAAAAATAAAATACCTTTAATTTTGAACCGTGAAGTTAATTTAAATACAGCCGGCCAACAAACACCGAACACGGGCTGGGTTTTGACCATGCAAATCTAATACGGACCATAAATTAAACAATAAGACCAGAACTTGTTTAGCGTCACCAGCTTCTCTGTTATCGTCATATCTAGATGCCATCTTGGACTACGCAATTTTTGACCAGTGACCCTTCGGGCTGGGTTTGCGACCATGGCAAACGACCTTGTGTTGGACCATATCAGGACCCAAGACCAGAACTTGAAAAACGACAGCTTGTTTGACCAAAACATTGACTAAGCCTTGACCAGCTTGAATGTCCTGACCAATCTTTGACCAGTGACCCTATGCCGGAAACGCTCGGGTTTCCCACGAAAAACGACCCTGTGTCTTCATCTTGACCCCTGGGAGTCACCACCGCCGGTCAGAGAGCAAAAGCCTTCCTGATTCCGACCACCCAGGAGCAGTCGTTCAAACAGTCCTTTTCAGGGCTAACTTCCGAAAGTCATTCGATCACCAACTTCAGGCTCCACCACTCCACTCTTCCAGCACTGCAGCTTTCAGCTCACTCCTGCAGCTTCCAGCACTCCTGCAGTCTCCAGCTCACCCCAACAGCTTCCAGCGGCCTCCAGTTCACCCCTGCGGCGCTCTACTGACGTCCCGCTACCTATTCCAGCACCCGCTGACGATCTAATGCAGTGCCCACTGACGTCCAGCGCCCGTTAACGTCCGGATACCGTTCCCGAACAAACGACCTCTGTCGTCTTACCATCCACCGTTCACAAATAAAGACACGATTTCCATCGTCTACAACGGACCATCTGCGTTTGTCATCCTTCTTTGCTATTGCCATCTCCTTGCCTTTGTGTCCCCTATTTTAGTTGTACGGCCCGCTGCAACAAGTGGTGACCCCGACGTGAATTATGGACACAGGCAAACGGCTAGCAGAGAAGATGGCGGAACACACCGAAACAGAAATCAACACATCAGCCGCCCTGATACAACTACCGCCATACAACTCGATCAACTCCAGGAGTTGGTTTATTCAACTTGAGGCGATATTTTCAGCCCGAAAGGTCACACGACAGGACACTAAATACGCCTCCGTGGTACAAGCCTTACCAGCATCAATCGTTGAAGAAGTGGAAGACATCCTTCTCAATACTCCAGACCAACTCCCATACACCTGCCTCAAAGAAGCCATCCTCAAACGAACTGGACGTTCGGACGAAGACCTCATCAGAGACTTATTCTCTAATGTGTCTCTCGGCGATAGGACACCATCCCAGCTCCTCCGCCTGATGAAGATCCGCCTCGGGAACAACACCATGGCAGAACCCGTCCTCCGAGGGCTATGGATGGATCGGTTACCACCGAATATAACACAAGTTCTAGCCCTGGTACCAGTAGAGACGCCCCTTGACGTTGTGGCCGACTCAGCCGACAAAATATACTCCCAGGCTCACCAAAAAGTTCACCAGGTTGAAAGCCACGGAAACCACACACAACGCCTCGAAGAGGAGATGACCCAGCTACGCGCAGAGTTGAGAGACCTGAAACTCTCCCTATGCCGGAGGCAGCGAAGCCCAGCACCACGCACGCGAAATCGAAGCCGTACCCGCAGCTCAAGTCCAGGACGGAGAAACAGTGTGGACGAATGTTGGTACCACCAAACCTTCGGTGACCGAGCCCGCAAGTGCCACCCTCCCTGCAGACGCAATAAGGCCCAGGGAAACGAATAGACCGACAGGCAGCGACGACGATCCCTGTCGGTACTCGCTCACACAGTCGTCTCTTCTACGTGTGGGACCGTAACAATGGCCTCAAATTCCTAGTTGACACTGGCGCAGCCATCAGCGTAATACCACCCACCAACAGATCCGCCTTGAAACCCACCCCATTCCAACTTCGAGCGGCAAACGGCTCCACCATAGAAACCTATGGGAACAAGGAACTTACTTTGAATATCAACCTCAGGCGCGACTTCAAGTGGTCATTCACCGTAGCTGACGTCAGGACACCCTTGCTCGGTGCCGACTTCTTGGCACATTACAACCTGGCTGTCCATATGAAGACAAGGACCCTGTCCGACAACATGACAACCATCAAGATCACAGGGATCCCATCGAGCTTCAACACAACTAGGATCAGCGTGGCAACACAGCACGACCCCCACTACGTAGAAATCCTGCGCCGGTACAAGCACCTCACGCAACCCATCAAACCAACTGATGCAGGCGACCATCAGACCCAACACCATATAAAGACCACCGGACAACCAGCATATTCACGGCCACGACGACTCCCTCCACACAAATTAGCATATGCCAAGAAAGCGTTTGAGAAGTTGCTGGCTGACAATATCATCCGACCCTCAGACAGCCCATATGCTTCACCACTGCATCTGGTACCCAAATCCGACGGGGATTTCAGGATCTGCGTGGATTACCGGAAACTCAATGCATCCACAGTGCCCGGCCGGTATCCTGTTCCGCATATCCACGACTTTGCCTCAGGTCTACAGGGGGCCCGCATTTTCTCAAAAATCGACCTGACCAAATCCTACTATCAAGTTCCAGTTGCTCCGGAGGACATCCCAAAGACAGCAGTCACAACCCCTTTTGGACTGTTTGAATTCCTAAAAATGCCCTTCGGACTGCGCAACGCAGCCCAGACGTTCCAGAGGCTGATGGACGAAGTTCTGCGTGGCCTACCATACGTCTACGCATACATTGATGACATCCTAGTGGCTAGCAGAGACGCTGATCTCCACAAACAACACCTGGAGGAAGTGTTCCGCCGTCTAACACATTACGGCCTCAGAATCAACCCAGACAAGTGCGAATTCGGTGCACAACACATAGACTTCCTCGGACACCACACAGACGCTCAGGGGATCACCCCACTCCCCGATAAGATAAAAGCCATACAGGATTTCCTGATGCCCACATCGATAAAGCAACTGCGACGCTTCTTGGGGATGGTAAATTTTTACCGCAGGTTTATCCCCGGATGCTCAAAACTCCTCACCCCACTGACAAATCTCCTCCAGAGAAAAAACAAAGCCATCACCCTGGAGGGCGACCAGGAAAAATCATTCCAAGCAGCAAAAAACTTTTTAGCTAACTTTACAAAGTTAGCACATCTCAACGAAGACACCCGGACTCAGATATATCTAACAACAGATGCCTCAGACACTGGAGTTGGAGCTGTGGTAGAACAGGAGGTTGACGACCAACGCAAACCCATCGCATTCTTCTCGGCTAAATTATCACCAGCCCAGTCCAGATACAGCACCTTCTCGAAAGAACTTTTGGCTATATACCTCGCCATCAAACACTTCCGACATCTACTGGAAGGCCGGAATTTCACCGTTTTGACCGACCACAAACCCTTGACAACTTCCCTGTCGAACAATTCGGACAAATATACGGCTCGCGAGATCAGGCATCTGGACTATATCTCACAGTTCACGTCCGATATTCGTTATGTCAAAGGAAAAGACAACTCTGTCGCCGATGCCCTATCCAGATTTGATGTCAACACAGTGGAAGACAGCCCACTCAGCCAGGACCTGATAGCAGAGGCCCAGGAATCCGACGCAACCCTCCCTGAAGTCCTAGCCAACACATCCCTGCAACTGAAAGAATTTCCGGCACCTTTCAGCAACAAAATATTGTACTGCGATACAAAACTGGATCACCCCAGACCCTACATACCTCCGGCACTCAGAAGGCAAATTTTCAACCACCTCCATGGATTGTCACATCCCAGCAAGCGCGCTACGGTCAAACTCATTGCCGATCGTTTTGCGTGGCCCAACATGAATACTGACATCCGTAATTGGGTATCAACGTGCCTTAAGTGCCAGAAATGCAAGGTACACCGGCACACAAAATCCCCGCCAGGCACATTCAGCAACCCTGACGCACGGTTCAGCCACATCCACATTGACATAGTGGGACCCCTCCCAATGTGCCAGAATTATCAGTACCTCCTCACGGTGGTTGACCGTTTCTCCAGGTGGCCAGTAGCAGTACCCATCAGAGATACCTCGGCTAGCACGGTAGCAAAGACCATCCTTCAGGAGTGGATCGCAATTTTGGCGTACCCAGCATCATCACCACAGACCGCGGTGCGCAGTTCCAGTCCTCACTCTTTCAGGAATTCACTCAACTGCTCGGCGTCAAACACATCAAGACCACCGCCTACCATCCCTGTGCCAACGGCCTTGTGGAAAGGTTCCACCGAACACTAAAGGCCTCTCTAACTACAAAACATCCCACCAGCAACTGGGTAGACGAGCTACCCCTAATCCTTTTGTCAATCCGCAACACACTCAAAGAAGACTTAGAATGCACTCCAGCCGAAATAGTCTTCGGTACAGCACTCTCTTTACCCGGCCAATATTTCGACGACACCATACCCAACCTAACCACTGCAAGTCCTTTCACTCAGGAACTTCGCCATAAAATGGCCCAACTGAAGTATACACCACCCAGGCAATCATCACCAACTATCCACGTTCCACAACAGCTTCAGGACTGCGAGTTCATTTTTGTCCGAAATGACGCGGTAAAGAAACCACTAACACCAACATACCAGGGTCCATTCAAAGTCTTAAAACGCTCTGAGAAGCATCTCACCATTGATCGAGGAAGCCGGACGGACACCATCTCCATCGACAGATTCAAACCAGCTTTTCTGGAAAAATCTCCACGGGAGACAGAACCCGTCTCAACACACCCAGAACCCTCACCTGCCTCAACAACCACGCAATCGCAACCGTCACAACCGAGGTCAGAGCCAATCTCAGAATCACCCACCACTCCACCTAGGCAGACCCGTCTTGGAAGGAAAGTCACCTTCCCTAAGAAGTACAAGACATATATTTTCTTCTAATTGATAATGATCAATTATCCTGGGAGAGGGCCTTGTCGCAGTGTGCCCAAACACCACTCCCACCTTTTCTTAAACAACCCCGGATATGCCTGCCGGTAGAGAAAGGTCATGACCCTTGTGTGCTAAAAATAGCAACGACATCCTTTCAAACTGACAGAAACACACAAAACTCAATTTTCGCCACTAAACAAAAATAAAAGACCTTTAATTTTGAACCGAAATTAATTTAAATACAGGCAACAAACACCGAACACACTTTTGACTGTAATTAATACGGCCCTAAATTAATTATATTAATTTACTTGTTTAGCGTCACCGCTTCTCTTGTATGAACCGTCATATCTAGATGCCCGAGACTTCGCAGCGGTTTTTAGCCGGCCAGGGAGCAGCCCGGCCTTCGGGCTGGGTTGCGACCATGGCAAAGTCTAGTTTGGACCATATCAGGACCTGCTAAGACAAGACAAGCCAAGACCAGAACTTGACTAAGCTTTGACCAGCTTGGACATGTTATGCCCAAAACATTGACTAAGACTTGACCAGCTTGGACATGTTATGACCAATCTTTGACCAGTGACCCTATGCGGAAACGCTTGGGTTTTCCCACGAAAAAACGACCTTGTGTCACGTCTTGACCCCGTGGGAGTCAAGTAATCCCACGAAAAACGACCTTGTGTCCATCTTGACCCGTGGGACCAAGTAAATACCGCCGGCCTGGGGAGCGGGCCAGGGTTGCGACCATGGCAAAGTCTAGTTTGGACCATATCAGGACCTGCTCAAAGACAAGCCAAGACCAGAAGAGCTTTGACCAGCTTTGAACATGTTATGACCAAAACATTGACTCTTTGACCAGCTTGGACATGTTATGACCAATCTTTGACCAGTGACCCTATGCGGAAACGCTTGGGTTTTCCCACGAAAAAACGACCTTGTGTCACGTCTTGACCCCGTGATCAAGTAATCCCCGAAAAACGACCTTGTGTCACATCTTGACCTCGTGGGAGTCAAGTAAATACCACCGACCAGGGAGCCTTCCTGATTCGCAACTTTGATGCGCCCAGTCAAGTCGACCAAGCCCAGCAGCTGACGGGACCCAGCAGCAGTTGTTCAAACAGTCCTTTTCAGGGCTAACTTCGGAAAGTCATTCAATCACCCTCTTCAAGGCTCCACTCACTCCCACTCTTTGCTACTGCCTTCCCTCTGAGATTTTTCCAACGGCACTCCTGCAGCTCAGCTCCTGCATTTGATTCCATATGACTCCTGCAGTTTCCAGCTCACCCCAACAGATTCTTCCAGCGGCCTCCAGCTCATCCCTGCGGCGCTCTAATGACGTCCCGCTTTATTTGATTCCAGCACCCGCTGACGATTTAAAATCCAGTGCCCACTGACGTCCAGCGCCCGTTAAATTCCGGACACCGTTCATGAACAAACGACCTTTGTCGTCTTACCATCCACCGTTCGCAAATAAAGACACGATTTCCATCTATAATTACAACGGACCATCTGCGTTTGTCATCCTTCACCACACAAACTCAATGTAACTGTCCATGTGCTTGTAACTTGTTGTTAATACATATATTTGTTTATATATAATTATCGGTCTTGTTTGTTTTCTTTGTCTTCTTTGGACTTAATTAAAGTCCAACATTCTCATGTAGCTGGACCGGCTAGCAGGAAATTTTAACCCACGTGTGTTCTTTACATCTTCACCGCCACGGTCCTCCACAGTAGCAATTTGTTAAGTTGAAAAGAAATGGTGAGGAATACAGTTGAATGAATGAGGAAATTTCTTTTAAACCGAGCCGTCGTGAACTGTTGTGGTATGTTGCCGTCCTTTCTCCTT